CGCGTGCAGGTGGGGACTGTGCAGGCTCCGGGAGCAGAGCTGGAGGCGACCCAGGAGGAATGGGCAGGGCCCTGGAAACCCGAAAGTGGCCCAGCAGTCATTTAGGCGGTAGACCTAAGAAGTGGAGCCTGTGCCCCAGGGGAGCCAAAACCAGCAGTTGAGCTTCAGAAGAGATGGGCTTGGGGTGCAATTTGGGAGCCAGGCAGGTACCCAGCTGTCCTTGGCCTTACCCACCATGGCAGGACCACCACAGCTGGAAATCTCTCTTTCAGTTAACAGGGATGCCCCCGCCCTCGACACTTAGAAAACAGCCCAGGTTGTTTCTGGAGCCCAGGGTGGCTCCAGAAAATTAACAGACGTGACCTTGGGTTACTCCACCTCCTGGAGTTTACAGAAGGTCCTGATCCCCTGTTGGCTTGGGAAAGGCCTCAGCGTGCCCTCTTCCTGAGCAGTAGGCTCAGGCCTCCAGGCAGCTGCACCTCTTCCAGCGCCTGACAGCCCTGTCAGCTGTTGTTAGTATTACGGTCACTTTATGGATAACAAAAACAAGGTCCTACAATTAGGGGCAGGCCTTGAACCCAGGACCCCACCAGCAAGAATGCTTCCCATAGAGCTGGTTCTCATCTTGGTGCCCTTATGCTACCTGAATCCTGATAGTGGACAGGGGCCAGGTTCTCTGCATTCTGCCTCTAGCACTGTGGCTCTAATCTAATACCCCCTCTCTGGCTTTTTTTTTCCTCCTTGAACTCACTGTGTAGCCCCAGGCTGGTAATCCTCCTGCCTCAAGCCTCAAGTGCTGGGATTGCTGACATGTGCCACCACACATGGCTCTCTGGTTTCTTAAAGGCTGGGCTAGGAAGGCCCTCATGTCTATGCAGACACTGACTACTGGTTCCAGTGACCTGTGTCCCATGATGACCTTTTGTCTTCATGAAAGAAACCTTAGAAAGCTAAGGCAAATTGGGCCTGTGGGGGCAGCCTGGCTGGTGGAGGTGCAAGACTTGCCCTTTGCTTCCAAGAATCTTCCTTTTAGCTGTAATAATGGGGGTGGGCGACACAGTGACAATACAGTGTGACAAATACTGTCACTAGGAAGCCAGAGCAGCAATGAGTGACAGAGAGGGTGTGAAAACTAGGGAGCAGGGAGCCTGAAAAGACTTCCTGGGAAAGGTGTCATTGGAAATGGCCTTAAGAAATGAGTAGGGTTTCATCAGGTCCCAAGATAGAAGAGGCATCTGTGGCTAGAGCACACAGACCAGGAGCCTGGAGGTATTCTTGAGCCATGATGGACAGGAGCTGGCTTAGAAATCACAGTGGTCAAGCTGTGCTCCTGGAAGCTGAGACCAAGGCTCAGACATGGGTTGTGATTGTGTCACTGCCCCAGCCACCTCCTGCCTAAAATAGACCCGCACGCAGTAGCAAATGCCTGGTGGATGTTTAAATGATGAAAAGACATGAATTGATCAGATACATACTGTTTGGCAAGCACACTGCACATCTTAGTAGTCTTTCCAGCAACCCTGTTTACAGCAGAGGAAACTGAAGTCTGGAGAGGAAGTGGAGGTTTCAAGAGTGGTGACTCAGACCTAGATCTCTCTCTGGGCTTGTGTTAGGAGCAGCTTGCCTGGGGCTTCCAGCTCTCCACTTGAAATTGGCAGCCCCTGGTAATCCCACTTGATTCTGAACACTTCCAGGTCTCTAGCCAGCCCTGTCCCATCCCTGTGGGGACCAGTAGTCAGGCCCAGAGGCTGAGTGTAAGGCCAGCCATAAGGAAGGCTGAGATGGAGATAACGGTCCCATGGGAGGGAGGGGGGACCCAGAGGCCCTAGAAAAACACAGCAGTGTTAGGAAGGTGGGAGGGATGCACAGAGACTAGAGGAATAACCAGTGCAGATCTCTGAGTATCAGAGGGGCCCGAGTCTCAGCTCAGTTGAGGGCTGCTGACCCAGAAGTCGACGCTCACCTTTTTCCTAACCCCCTCTTGTATAGAAACTCATCCAAGAATGTCTCGAGCATTTGGCGACCAAGAAGCAGCAGCACATTGGCAACATAACCCAGATGGAAGGTGCCACCGAGAAGCTCAAGGCAAGTGGAGTATCCTCTCTGATCCAAGGAAGATGTCCACATGCCCACCCCCATTGTGGACCCTCAGAGGGGCACACAGGGGTGGGGAGGTGTGGGGCTTTTATAATTCATAGGACCTCTTTGAGAAAAAGTGCACAAAATTACAAATTTCAGTGCAAGACTGTGAAGGGAGAGACATGCAAGTGAGAGACCCAAGGCTCCTATTCTGTCTGCCTTGTGGAAATCAGTCTTTGCCCAGCACCTC